GTCTCCTGCAGCTGCGGGAAGGCGCTGTGCTTAGCCCCACGCAGCGCAGCAGCGGCGCTTACAGCTGCCCCAGGGCGATACAGACCAGGCCGGCGGGCAGGGCCCCCCCGCTGTTTGTTCGATCATGGCACAAGCTCGCTTCAAGGCAGCCCTCAGCTTTCCCCAGGCTGCAGCGCTAAAGTCAATGACAGCGGCCTGTGGATACTCACGCCTGCTCCTCCCCTTAAGTGTAATGGAGGAGTAGCAGGCGTGCCTGCCACACACACGGTTTGGCCGCGCAGCTGCTCTGAGTGCACACAAAGTAGCCCTTAGCTAGCTCACAGCACACAGCCCCTTCCGTTCCCACATTAGAAAGATAAGGAGTTAACCTAAAAATGTAGCCACGTTAGAAACAGAGCCAAGGTGATGCTGGCTAGGCCTATACTGACAACAGCATGTGACTTACACCCGGTTTCCTACACACTAGGATGAAAATAACCAGAGAGGGATGTAGGTGCAAGGCTTTCTGTGCCAATTTTCTTGCTGGCATTTTGGACAGTTCTACACTGCACTGAGACACCTGACTGAGGCTGCAGTGGTGTGGAAGCTAAGCTTTGGCACTCTCTTCCCTCCCTACCTCCTAGAGCAGCCAAACCCTCCACAGTGCAATGAAACAGGCTCTTAGCCTGAATCTGCTAACCTAGGAGAGCAACAGGTTTTTAACTGCAGTTTAGACATTACCAATGCTGAGCTGTATGAATAGCTTCTTACCACCAGCTGATAAGTCAAAAAAAAAAATCAGGCAGCTTATTGACCTGAACTAGTGCTCAGGTTGAACAGACCTCCACTAGAGAGGAGGTAGCAGCTCATCACCCATGCAAGGATTGGATAACTTCTCTTCAGTGCTCCACAAAGCCAAAGCTTATGCGAAAGGATAGGCCTTACCATAGTGCTACCATTTCTGCCTTTCCAGCAGACATGCTTACTTATCCTCTAGTATTTCCTCTCCCTGTTACTTGGCACAGCTAACTGCAGACAGCAGAATAAAATACAAGGAAACCTTTATTTTTCAGTTTTATCAAGATTTTTTCCGGTCTTTTCAGCTGTTTTATTAGTGGACAAGTCCAGTCAGTTTTTGTATTAAAAACGATCTTGATGGAGGTAGCTGTGTCTCTGTCCTGGCTTTTGCTTGGTCTCATCTGTACACTCATCTCAGTAAACAAACTCAAAATAAGATTAAAACAAAACATGGAACTCCAGGCTGAAGCAGCGAGCAGTGCAGCCAGGATTCTGTGTAACAGGACGTGGCTCTGTGGCCTCCAGTCACTATGTACAGAGTCCGTCATGTCCCCTCTTGCCCTGGCACGCTCCTAGCTGGTGCAGGCTGGCGCCACAGAGTTTCCTCTCCCACAGGGAGGCCTGTGCAGCAACGTCCGCCAAGGGGAACAGCACCCTCTCAGGAACATCAGGCAGAGGGATAATTTCAGCTTGGTTGAGAAGTCAACAGTACCAAGCCAAGGTCTCATTGCTGCTGGGCCACCTGGGGGGGGGAAGAGGGGGGGTGAAAAAACATGCATTAGGAGCCTTTACCAAAAGCACCCACCCAGCTGGTACATGCCCTCCTACTAATGAGCAGACTAGAGTGAAGCAAAGTTCTATCAACTAGGGCAGTGTTTCCCAATTGTATTTGGCCAAGGAACCCTTTTCAGAATTTCAAGGAACCCCTAGGTTAGTCAAGAAAAAAAAAAAGGGGTGGCAAAAGGGACCCACCAAATGCATGCAAATCACATTTCCTTCCTCAAGACCTCCACCCCCGTTCCTTGAGGCCTCATCTGCTTTGTTCCCCTCCTCTCCATCACTTGCCATCCCCAGCCCTTACACACTCACTAGGTTGAGACAAGAGGTCTGGGGTGGGAATGAGGGATTTGGGTGTGGGAAGGGGTGAGAAGTACAAGCTCTGGGAGGGAATTTGGATGCAGGAGAAGGGGATGTTGGCTCGGAGAGGGGGCTCCAGGCTCAGGAGTGTTGGGTTCAGGTGGAAGGTTGGGGTGCTGAGTGAGCCATGGGCTTATGGATGTGGGGGTGCTGGGGTTTGGGCTGGATATGTGAGGGACTCAGGACACAGATTTGCCATGTGTGATGGTGCAGGAGTGTGGTGGCAGAAGACTAAGGATGTGGGGCTGCAGGAGTTTGGGGATGTAAGAGGCTCAGGCCCGGGGGTTCCAGTGTATGATAGGCTCAGATTTGGGGTCAGGTGGTGCAGGAGTGTTATGATGCTGCAGTGAGATGGGGATTTGGCCCCAATTGGGGGTTTGTTGGCCAGCCTTCATTTTTAAAAACCCAACAACCCTCCAAAGACCCCCAAGCCTCACTAATGTGGTCCCAAATGTGCTGGTGGGAGCAGGGGACAGAGTGAAAGTGGGTGCTGGGGCTGGGGAAAGGGTGCTGCTGGGTGGAAGGATGCTGGCTCAGGTGACGGGGTGCTGGGGCAGGCAGGTGGCGGGAGTCAGGGACATGGTTCTGCTGGGCACTAGGGTGACTGGCAGGGTGCTACTGGGTGCTAGCGTGGATGGCAGGGTGCTGGGGCCAGGGAGGTGCTGAGTCCTGGGGTGTGAGGCAGGGGGTTGGGGCCAGGGACAGGGTGGTGCTAGGGTGGATGGCAGGGCTGCCAAGGAGCAGGATAGGGATGGGGTGCAAGATCTGAGAGGGAGGTGGGGGGGCAGAAGGGGGCAAGGTCTGGGTGGGAGGTAGGGTGCAGAAGCAGGCTGGATGTAGGGTGTCTGACCAGGGGGAGGAAGCAGGAGCAGACTGGGGGTAGGGTGTCTGGCTATGAGGGAGGGTGCAAGGAGGGGACTTGGGAAGGAATTGGATCTCTCTGAACCGGCACCCTCTGGACCTGACTGGTCCCAGATGAGGGATTTTTGGACCAGGGAGGTCATTTCAGGGCTCCTGGTTCCCGCCCCTCCCTCCTCCCCACTAAGCTTCTTTGCACCTCTATCCCCTGCAACCCAACTGAGCTGCCTACCCCTGCTGGTTCCCTGCACCGGAGGGGACTTGGGAAGGAATTGGATCTCTCTGAACCGGCACCCTCTGGACCTGACTGGTCCCAGATGAGGGATTTTTGGACCAGGGAGGTCATTTCAGGGCTCCTGGTTCCCGCCCCTCCCTCCTCCCCACTAAGCTTCTTTGCACCTCTATCCCCTGCAACCCAACTGAGCTGCCTACCCCTGCTGGTTCCCTGCACCTCTCCCAAAACCATCCCCCACAATCCAAGGGAGCACAGCACCAGTTCCCTGCAGCCCCCACAGCCCAGCTGAGCTGCCCATCTGTTCCGTATGCCCTCCCCCATCCACCTCAACCCAGCTGAGCCCTGCACTGGTTCCCTGCATGCCTCCCCC